CTCCTCCCTTCACCTAGGCTGAGCAAAGTGTCCCAGCATAAGCCCTAGCCCAAAAAGCCACCTCATGCACTAAGGACAGGACTAGGTCCTACTGCCTGGGGTCCTCCTAAATAGTTCAAGCTAATCGACTGTCTCACTTATCCAGAGGGCCTGATCCAGTCCATGGGGGTTCCTCAGCTATTTGTTCATAGTTCATGTGTTTCCACTAGTTTGGCTATTTGTTCCTGTTCTTTTTCCTATCATGGTCTCAATATCTCTTGCTCATATAATTTATCCTCTCTCTCTTGCCAATTGGACTCCTGGAGCTCCACCTGGGGCCTGGTCATGGATCTCTGCATCTGCTTCCATCAGTCATTGGATGAGATTTCTATCATGACAGTTGTGGTGTTCGGCCATCAGATCACCAGAGTAGGTCAGTTCGGGCTTTCTCTTGACCATTGCTGGCAGTCTAATGTAGAGGTATCTTTGTGGATTTCTAGGGACCTCCCTAGCACTCTGCTCCTTCCTATTCCCATGGGGTCTTCATTTATCATGGTCTCTCTTTCCTTGTTCTCCCACTCTGCTCCTGATCCAGCTGGGATCTCCTGCTTCCCTTAGCTCTCTTTTCCCTGACCCTTGCCCTTCATTACCTTCCCATGTCCAGTTTACTCATGTAGATCTCATCCATTTCTCTGTGGTTGGGTGATCCCTGTGTCTTTCTTAGGGTCCTCTTTACTAAGTAGCCTCACTTGAGATGTGAGTAGCAGTCTAATTATCCTTTGTTCTACATCTAATATCCACCTATGAGTGAGTTGGTTCTTTGAAGAAAATCAACAAGATAGACAAGCCCTTATCCAAACTAACCAAAAGCCAGAGAGAGAGCATCCAAATTAGCAAAATCAGAAATGAAAAGGGAGACATAACAACTAACACTGAGGAAATACAGAGAATCATCAGGTCTTACTTCAAAAACTTCTACTGCTGAAAACTAAAAAACTAAAAGAAATGGATAATTTTCTGGATAGTTAATGCATACCTAAGTGAAATCAAAACCAGATAAACTATTTCAATAGAGCAGTAACCCTTAAAGAAATAGAATCCGTCATTAAAAGTCTCCCAACCAAAAAAAGCCCAAGACCAGATGGTTTCAGTGCAGACTTCTACCAGATCTTCAAAGAAGAGTTAATACCAATATTCTTTAAATTTTTCCACACAATAGAAACAGAAGGAACATTACCAAACTCCTATGAGGCTACAATAACCCTGATTCCCAAGCCTAACAAAGATGCAACAGAGAAAGAGAACTACAGACCAATCTCCCTCATGAACATTGATGCAAACATACTCAATCAAACACTGGCAAACAGATTCCAAGAACACCTCAAAACAATTATACACCATGATCAATTAGGCTTCATCCCAGAGATTTGCAAAGTTGATTCAACACTCGAAAATCTGACAATGTAATACACCATATAAACAAACTGAAAGAAAAAACCATGTGATCACTTCATTAGATGCTGAAATGGACTTTGACGAAAGCCAACACCCTGTCGTGATAAAGGTCTTGGAGAGATCAGGAATATAGGGACATTCCTAAACATAATAAAGGCAAGTTACAGCAAGCCAACATCCACAATTAAATTAAATGGAAAGAAACTCAACACAATTCCACTAAAATCAGGAACAAGACAAGGCTGTCCACTCTTCCCATATTTATTCAATATCGTACTTGAAATTCTACCTAAAGAAATAGCACACAAAAAGGAGATCAAAGGGATAGAAATTGGAAAGGAAGAAGTCAAACTTTCACTATTTGCAGATGACATGATAGTATATATAAGTGACCCAAAACATTCGACCAAGGATCTCCTACAGCTGATAAACATATTCAATAATGTGGTAGGATACAAGATTAATTCAAAAATTCAGTAGCTCTCCTATATACAAAGGACAAACAGGCTGAGAAAGAAATCAGAGATATATCACCCTTTACAATAGCCACAAATAATATGAAATATGTTGGGGTAATTCTAACTAAGCAAGTGAAGGGCCTGTATGACAAGAACTTTAAGTTCCTGAAGAAAGAAATTGAAGAATATCTCAGAAAATAGAAAGATGTCCCATGCTCAAGGATAAATAGTATTAACACAGTAAAAATGGTAATCTTACCAAAAGCAATCTGCAGATTCAATGCAATCCCCATCAAAATCCTAATACAATTATTCACAAACGGGGAAAGAACAATACTCAACTTCATATGAAAAAAAAAACAAACCCAGGACATTTAAAAGAGTCCTGTACAGTAAAGGCATCATGATCCTTGACTTCAATCTTTACTATAAAGCTACAATAATAAAAATAGCTTGTTAGTGGCATAAACACCAATGGAATTGAACTGAAGAAACTGACATTAATCCACACATGTATGAACACTTAATTTTTGACAAAGAAGCCAATATTTTACAGTGGGGGAAAAAACAATCTTCAACAAATGGTGTTGGCATAACTGGATGTCAACATGTAGAAGACTGCAAATAGATCCACATCTATTACAGTGCACAAAGATATCTATCACAGTGCATAAAGCTTAAGTCCATGTGGATCAAAGACCTCAGCATAGATCTTGTTACTCTGAACCTGATAGAAGAGAAAGTAAAAAGTAGTATTGAATGCATTGGTACTGGAGATCACTTCTTAAATATAACACCAGTAGCACAGACATTGAGAGCAACAATTAAACGATGGGGCCTCCTGAAACTGAGAAGCTTTTGTAGGGCAGAGGACACGGTCATTAAGACAAAATGACGGCCTACAGAATGGGTAAAGATCTTCACCAACCCCACATCTGACAGAGGACTGATCTCCAAAGTATATAAAGAACTCAAGAAACTAGACTTCAAAATACTGAACAATCCAATTAAAAAGTGGGGTACAGATCTAAACAGAATTCTCAACAGAAGACCCTCAAATGGCTGAAAGACATTTAAGGAATTGCTCAACATCCTAAGTCATCAGGGAAATGCAAATCAAAATAACACTGAGATACCATCTTAGACCTGCCAGAATGGCTAAGATCAAAAACACAGAAGACAGCTTACGTTGGATAGGATATGGAGCAAGGAGAACACTCCTACACTGCAGTCTTGGTGGGAATGCAAACTTTTACAGACATTTTGGAAATCAGTATGATGGGTTCTCAGAAAATTGGGAATCCATCTTCCACAGGACCCAGCTATACCACTCTTCGGCATAAACCCAAGGAATGCTCAATAATACCACAGGGATACATGCTCAACTATGTTTATAGCAGCACTATTTGCAATAGCCAGAACCTGGAAATAACATAGATGGCCCTCAACTGAAGAATGGACCAAGAAAATGTGTTACATATACACAATGGAGTACTACTCAGCAGAGAGAAACAATGATATCATGAGGTTTGCAGGCAAATGGATGGAACTAGAAAAAATCATCCTGAGTGAGGTAACCCAGATTCAGAAAGACAAACATGGTATAGACTCACTCATAAGTATATACTAGATG